CGCGCGGCCTTCAAACTCATCGGTAACTCGTCTTTTGCAAATGCATCGACCGAGTCCCAGGAGGTAAATAATATGTATAAGCCAAAGTCCATGAGAAAGCGGCCGTGAATCACTTTGAGCAGGACCTTGCGAAGGAACTCTGGCAGGCCTCTGATTCCACTCAGGTCCGCCATTGCAGACGCAATTCCATGCGGCTTCCCAGAGCACCAACTGCAGCAGCCTCTGCAAGACCTCGTGCTCCTCTTCTGATCTGGCTTGGAATCATCCTGGCTGGTGCCTTTTCCCGAGCAGCAAGTGCTGCAGTTGAGTTTGTCCTTCAATCTGCAGCAAGATTGCCAGCAAGATTGCCAGAAACCGGTTGCAGCCTTCTGTGCCTTCTTTCTTTTCGCATGCGCCGCAGCTAAGTCAGCCGACCAATAATCTGTCCAGCAGGAGGCAAAGAATAAGGCGAAGCTGAAGACGATGCTTCCAAGAAGCACCGACCAGAACCCGGGAGACCTGAGCATCCTCCGTCCATTGCCGGCAGAGTAAATTTTCGCCCATCCTTCGGGTGCTAGCATTTGAGCCACAGACGAACAAGTCGCCAGCTTCATCCCGATGTCCGTGAGCAATGCCACGTAACGGACAACTCCAAAGATTGACAAGTGGGTTGTGAGGCACCGTACCTGGTCAGGATGGCTGCTGCTGGCAGTGATCACACCTTCTGAACTCCAACGTAATTCCTCCTCGTCCCAGAATGCACATCTCATGGAATCAGACGTGTTGACCGCGATGTCGAAAATGAGCTCTATGGGCTCTTCGAGCTTGTCCAGGTTCAAGCTCTCTCCGTCACTATCCCGCAGATTGACGCTGATGATGATCTCCGACTGGAGCTCTGTCTTTTGTTTTTGGCCTAGTTCATCCTCGGAGGGGCTGGTCAAGTTGTCGAAAGCATTGGTGGTGTTGGCAGCCACGGAAGTGACGGAGAGCAGCGCGATACCAGTTTCTGCATCCTGCGCTTTTCCTAGGACCGAAGCTGGCAGCTTGATGTGTGTGCTCGCGCCTGGGGCACTAACGGACGCAGACTCGTTCGGGTTGTCTGGGGCGGTCAGTGCGACCACTTTGATTGAGCCGACTGCAGTTACCAGCGTCTCGTTGAAGAGGACGGTGCCTCTCGGCGTGCTCTCAGCCGCAGTAAAACTCTCAGAAAATTGAACAGTCTCGACTGACCAGGGAGGAGCGCCTCCCATCCCTTCCCTCCCATGTCGGCGCCTGCTTTTGTCCCGTTCAGCATCTCTGTCAGGTTCTGAATCTGCGCCAGCAGGTTCGTCACTTTTTCCTCTGGGCCCCCCCCCCCAATTGCACATGCAACACCGCCCCACAAATCGGCTCGGCTGGAACTATTGGATCCCATGAAACTATAATGGTCGGTTTTACTGAGACAGAAACTTTTCAATCAAGAATCAGGATGCCAGCGCGAAATTCCGAAAGCCAGAGCAAGGCAACCCTCCCCAGCAATGGCCTCCTCCTCGCTCTCAACCGCTTCAGCTGCCTCGTTCGCCTCGTTCTTCCTGCTGCACAGGGGCGGCCCCCAGCATGTCTCAAATGGATCCCAATTTCAGGATTCGGGCGTGCTGCGTGCGACTGAGTCTTCGCCCGCCTCTTCTGCTCCTCCAGGGCAGCTCCCTTGAGTGTTTCGGTTGTGGTCGTGCGTGTAGTCACCGTGGTGGAGGTGCCAGTGCTAGTGCCGCTGCTGCTCGTAGTGGTACTGCGAGTCGTGGTGCTAACAGTGCTGCTGGTTGTAGTGGCACTGCTAGTGCTGCTGCTGGTAGTGCCGGTGCCAGTGCTGCTGGTAGTGGCGGTACCAGTCCCGCTGCGCGTAGTGGTGGTGGTGGTGGTGGTGGTGGTGGCGGTGGTGGTGGTGGCGGTGGCGGTGGCGGTGGTGGTGGTGGTGGTGGTGGTGGTAGTGCTGGTGCTGGTGCTGGT